GATATCGCAACCACGACAGACTCAGTTCGCAAAAATAACGGAAGGCTCGGCGCATTTCGGCTAGGTGGGGGCATTATGCTGGCTCTTCATAGATTACCACTGAAGACGTATGTCCTGTGAAGCTATGCAACCAACAGAAGTAGTACACCTGACAAAAAGTTACAAGTCTCAAGGTGAAAGGTGTGATCCGAAGAAAACCAGTAAACGAAAAGTGCGAAATGCCCCTAAGCCGAACAGCGCCAAGGCTGAACTACAAAATACCTCAGCGCCTTTTTCCACTCGATTTTCCATATCTATCCTATACTGGTTTGGATCTAAGAAGACACGATACCTCCGAATATCACCCTGGATTTGTGGTCTTTTCTCGTACGCTTCTGTACAAAAAGTATTTATTGAGCTTAAAATGAATCTAAACTTTTCCACTGCATTATAATGGAATCTACCGTATTCCTCGATGACGTTCCCGTTTTGGTCCATCATTCCTTCTATCTCACAGCCGCGAACGTATGTGACCTAGACGAGTACTTGTTATTTACAGCAAACAGAGATATATTTGAATCAATGCAGTACCTGAATTTGGTCCTTGAAAGGTTTCCTGATGTCATACTTAGTACCAACTGGTTGCGTAGAACGACAAGTGACCAGGAAACAAACGTCATGTTTCCGCAAATCTAAACACATCGTTGTATAAGAGAAAACGAACTAGGTAGAAAAAAAATCCGTATTTGACTTCTATAAAAGAGTGAGTTTCCACGGAACCGAGAATTGAGGTAAAAGGATAAGTGGCGACGAAAACAGGCTGCTCTCCTTGCACAATCATGACGAGGGGGCGTGGACTGTCACGCCCCCTTGCATCATGATGATGCAATTCGTAACCGAACAGAAACTGAAGTAAATATAAGCAATCTGAACATACTTTCACAGAAGATCCAATAAAGTGAAGTAATGAGGGCAAAATGACAACAAAAGCATGTCTAAAGAAAACTTCAAAAATGGGGAAGAAGTCGAATATAACAGAAAAAGCCTCACTTTCCCACTCCTGTTTGATATCCATTCGACGACCAACGTTGACGGCGAATTCGCCTTTCACTACTGACGGGCTTTTATCGCCAACAAAAGGTTTACCAACCTAGAAGAACGTTACGAGATCAACACAAGGATAAAAAAAAACGTTGAAGGGAAGTAATTCTGAACTTCCGACATGAAAACTAGGTAACACATAGAACTGGAAAAGCTTTTTCGTGGGGCGAAATCTTCAAATGGACAGTCCTAAACCTCAGGTTTATTTCACACATCACGATGCTGTACTCTTTCCGCTCTGGAAGTACAGGAAAGCTGTAGCGCAGTGGTATCCACTCGTCGTCTCCGTACTCCGCCTACCCTATCCTCGATGTGCAGCATTTAACGTAGATACCAAGGCACCGCAACGAAACATTACCCAAAGAGAACTAGGTGCAGATAGGTAGCCTGATCGGCTTCGAGTAGGACCTGGCCGGCCGTGCGGCAGCGCGAGGTGGACTATAAAAGCGACACCACTCCTGTTATCGATATCACTTCCTTCCAGCCCCTTTTTCACTTTTGAGTGGACACACTATTGCAGCTAGGGACCCAATCTCCTCACATACGGTGAGGACAATGATCCACGGAGGTTTGCTTTTAATTGGAATCTTTTAGCTTCTCTCCTAACTTTGGAGCCCTCCTGCAGCCAAACTAACAATCGTACCGTAGAGGAAGTGAAACAGTTGACTGTGACATACCTCGACTATCTGAAAAGAGTCGAGAAGAAGGGCCATGCGAGCCCATCCTCCCCAGATGGTTTCATTGCGAGACTCGTGCCGCCATGGTTTCATACGAAACAGCACATCTTCAAGATCTTGTCGGATCTCATCTGAAACAGCATTTATAATATCAGAACGATGACCAACAGCCACATAGATTTTCCTACTTCGAAACGGCTTCCTTTCAACTTTTCTTATTTTCGTGTGGAAATGATGAACAATGGCACAAGAGGGTTCCCACCGCACAAATAAGGCAAACAGACCAAGATTTTTCGGGATATCGGGTACTTCAGGGCAACAGGGCCTCTGGCCAATAGGATGTTCTTTCGCAGCGAGGGTCTAGTGCTATCCTCTCAACGCATTTTTGGGAGGAGCATTCGAATCGAGGCTAATATAGGAGAGGGAGAGGAGGAAGGCTTCGCGGTTGGTAATATCCTGAGACCTCTCCTCATGGGTGGATTTGACTGGAACTTTGTCTCTTGGATGTCTCTCTTCGTCCTATTTAAATTGAATATTATAAGAGCAACAAGACTCACATGTTGACTCCAGCTGGAAAAGATTGAAGTTCCTCAGTAGGTAGTCGTGTAAGGTCAGAAACTGTAGGTTCAACTTATTCAACGCAAGAACGCCTAAACCTCCTTGTTAGATTAGCATATAGAGACTATCGACGAAAATAATATTGACTGCACATATAGTATCCAAAAAGAGGTCGACATAACCTTCGCCAGAATAGCTCTCGTATGGAACAACGTTCTCATCCCAAATAACTTGTTCAGTTGGATACAACGGCTGTTCGTTGAGTTGCTGCAGTTGGTTCACCCGGCGCTCACAGTGGAGTGTCTGTAATGCTAGCAATATGACAAAGAAAAAGAGACATTATATAGCATTAAACTTTTTTCGTTTTGGATGCTACGGCGCTCTGGGAAGGGGAGAGGGAAGGAAGCTGGGTTTGGCAAGGCGTCAATGTTTCTACCAGCTATTCGAGGCAGACAAGGCAACAACAGTTTATGGCAAAAAGGGTGATGACGCCACTGCTCTCTCTCCCATGACGTGCCCCGCAGCGAAATAATACTAAACATCTAGCAAAGGTTGTCAAAGCGAAGCGGATAACAGAATCCACAGGTTAGAAACGACGCCTTCTTACAACAGTCTCTGTGAGGAACTCTTTGCTGCACTTCTCCAATATTGAATCTTCGCTATCGATTGGAGGAACAAGATGAAGATACTCAGCAAACCGGTATATGTCGGACTTTCTGTAAAAGTAAATGTATTTGACATGGCGACCACCGAAAAACCTAAATCGAAAAATATGCATATTTCGAGTTCTTTCATAAATCAAGTTTAAACCTTACTGCATTGATCCAAATTGTTTCATGAGGGCTTTTCTCGTATCCACACTTCCAACGTTGAGTAAGTAGAAGTCAGGCATGCTTTCTCTGCAATTGACTTTGGCAAGCGACATTTCGAACAGCTCTTGGCGTTTTCAATCACTAGAATTTAAACAGGAAAACCTACCGGAAGTACTTGAAAGCGGCCTTCTGCAACTTCACGACGTGCTCGTAATGCCTGTCAGCAACCTATAAATACGAAA